CCTGGAGGTTTGTGTCCAACCATATGAGACCAAATATGAATTATTCTGGTTAAACAAAGGTCAGTCATTTGAATTTGAGAATGTATATGCATGGCATATTCTTACAATCACACATTGCCACCGCAAATATAAACCATATATATGTGACATGGTAGAAGCAACGAGGCATGCAATCATTGCATGTCTATGTAATTTAATCATCGGCCACTTCAATGTTCTCAACGATTGAGGTTTTCTCCAATACGTGATGTCAACAGGTGCACATGTGACTACACTGGCCAATGTAGAGAATGTGATAGCAGTAGCAGCTCTCCGACTAAATGTTCTTCATACAGGATTTCAAACTACAGTGAGAGGTAGGTGACAGACGTATAGTCCGGAGAAGCCTCAGGGAGCTCCTATTTCATGGCGACATGTCGAACAATAAGCCATCCTCTTTTCGTGGAGTGCTGCTGTGTCAAAACAGATATAATCCTCGTCATTTCTGAAGCCCTCCAACAATACGATTGAATGATTTCTTAAGTGGCATTGAATTATTACATCAATCAAGCGTATTGTGTGTACATTTCATCCATTCAAGTGACTTGTATTGCACTCTTGTAACAAAGGATGGCTCTCCAAGTCAATTTGGCAAAAATCAGTGACTGTTAACTAATGCCACACCTCTCTTATGCCTGATTTTTTTTCTTCCAATTGCTCAGTCAAATTGAAGAAGATACATTCGTGAACACGATTTGCAAATAACAATGGATGCAAATCTGCCACTGTGATTAATTATATCTCCCTCTCTTAATTACTGCCCTGTTACACGAGGATGGTCATTGTCCATTTGTCACCCACGTGTGACGAAAAGGAAGACCATTGCCTGAAATGTCACATTACATATTTTATTTTTAAGGATTGATTATTTACAAATGTGTATAGTTTTTGTGATTTGTGCTTATGCTCCACAGCTAGCACAGTATCACAAAAAAAACATGTTTCATGTGTTTATGGTTATTGTAATTCCCTCTAAATATTCAGCAGTGTCATTAAGTCTAAAGGCACCCTGTATTGAGATGCTCGTCCGTGTCCTTAAATGTGAGCATAGGAAAACACCATTGCATAGAAACCCCATACAAATGTGTGGATTACACCAAGGCCGCAATTATAATATATATTGGGGGGACAATATTCAAATATGCTCAAAATGTCACCCCCCAAAAAAATTTCTATAAAAAAAATTGCTATGCTATGTAAATAAAAACAATTTGCCAAACCTTGGCCACAATATCTGGACTTGTCTTCATATAAATCAATGCATAGATGTATGCTTATATGATTGTGGTTATGGTTGTACTTTATTAAAACAAGACATGGTAAAAACAGAGCAGTGTAATACAATACACTATTAGACATTATTGTAAAAAAAAAGTCCATCCTATGTGTTAGTGATTTTTTTTTTTACATTTTAGACAGGAAATTAGTTTTCAAATTGAGATATTTTTCTTGGTTGGAACCCCCAGACACCCTGGAATATTTGGTCCCCCCCAAATGTTGACTCCATGGCTGCAGCCTTGGATTACACACTCAGAGGCATACACATAGATCACCAACCTGCTTGGTGTACTGCCATCCACTGGTTACCTCATACCCTTGCAGGTTTAATGTCTCAGTCTAATACATCAACCCACAGCATCGACACTGGATTTCAAGCCCGCACAAATGCACCTAAGTAAAACTAACCTAAAATTTGGCAGCATGACGAATTAAAATAAGGAGTGGTATTTGACAACAATGAGGGATGAATTGTGTTGAATGTTGCTTTTGTTTCTATTAAAGGTGCCACACTTAATAATAATCTGCAGTAGCTGTTTGCAAATGACAATTACAATTATAGTGTATAAAGTATTACAGAGGAACGCTACGTTTACATGCATATACATGGTACATTTGAGATGATAAATTTTTGGTAAATTTTAACCGGCATATACCTGCAATGAATGAGGTGATGAAGGTTTTGTTGTGCAAGATTTGAGTAATTGAAGTTATTATTTCACTGCATAATTTACGTTATTCTTGCCTTCTTCTTGTATGCCGCAGGGTGGAAAAGCAACAGTGTTGAAATATAGTATAGTTTAATGCTAAGTTTATAACATATACAAGGAGGCAGTAGATGCTGTGTGGATCACAGCAACACCGTCAGGATCCCCAGGGCGCCATGGTGGCAAGATGTTGACTACCTCGCCTAGTGTACAATATATCATGGGTTCGATTCCAACCCTGACGCCTGTATATTTGGAGTTTGCATGTTCTATGTGGTTGCGTGGATTTTTTTTCTCCATGTCCTCCGGTTTTTCCCTCCATATTTAGAAAACATGCGTCTCGAGTATTTGACTGCTATACATTTCCACATGGTAAGCCACTTTGTTGAGCTATCATTTGTAGCCAGGTCGCTTCTGAAAAAGAGCTACATAGCAAAAAAATTGTTTAATTTAGGTTGGTGCATTCGTCGGTGAAGCGTTTGATGGTTTAGACGTCACCATAGTTGTAGTGCAGCGATTCATTGATCTTCCATGTGTGAAAGGTGGACTAAAATCTCCCATGATTCAAGGTTTAGCGCGATCCACAGTTGTCGTGGGAGAGAGAAGCCCGGTACTTCTAGAGTCAGGTCCTCAATTAGGTTTATGGTTGCTCCATCCATTGCCGCCCACAATTCTGTCCAGCGGGCCCTCTTTCTTATGGCTGATGTAGATGCAGAGCAACAACTACAATTTCATATTCAAATGGTCAAGCCAGATAACAACTTGAGGAGCAGCGGAGTGTATCTCTGTGATGTCTCCTTTGTATTTGTGGATTGGGCACTACGACATATGTTGTAAGATCTGTTCTGGATGACCACAGTCGCACACTGGAGAGTTTTAAATTTTCCTTTGTGCTTCAGGTATCTGCATCTACTGCCATGGCTTATGCGCTGGATGCAGTTTAGGGTGGACCATGATCTTCGTGGAATATCAAACCCAGGGGATCTTTACGTTGGGTCATGCAGCGAGTGCTAGAGCGGAGGTACACATCCAGAAAGGCTTCCTGCATTTCAGCTTATGGCGTGAGGGTTCTTTTAGATCTTGTTGAAAGGCAGATATTCACAGCGGGCGGGCCTCATGGGCATTCAGGAAAAACGCAGAAGTGGCAAACGGGCCACAATCTCGTACTGGCCTGGTTACTGGAAGTCGTATTTTGGCAAAATAAATTATGGCTTTCAATAATACATGTTTTCCAGAAAATAATAAAGACAGAATGACAACTGCAGAACAATCTCGACAACATCCTGTATTCCCCAAGCATTGAGAATGTAACAAAAAGCATATTTATATTAACTTGCTGTGAAATATGTTGTGGAATGTTTTGCAATTTAAGACATCCCATGGCTAAGCATCGACAGAATATGAATGTAATTGCTGTATGTTATCAGGTGACAATCCTTCAAGATGCATGATTTTATTTAACAAACCAGATATTGATATACATTAATGATATGGTTACAGTTAATAAGGCTTCTGTATATATAGATAATAAAACTGCCTTAAATTCATTGGCCTATGGGCTTGGGAGATTAATTATTTGCATTTGTTCATTAGCATGGTGTGGTCCGTTTTAGAAAAATGAGCAGATACCCTCATGTTATGGACACAAGCCATCATTTAAGAAATATGGGGTGCAATATTTGAACTATGGATACATGTAACGGAGTGAACTTAGTGTGATTTATGATGTGCACAACACATTATTTTTAAAACTATTAACTATAACCGCCTAGGTTAGGGTAGCATCACCCTAACCCTAATTCTGTCAAATGAGACACTCCGGCCAAGTCCGTGTTCCAGTAATCTGAATATATCAGCCTGACTTCCAGCCTGGGCGAGACACTTTTTTATTGCTTACGTTTTCTCCAAGACTCAACGAATGGAGAACTTTCTCAGCCTTATTCCCACTCAAAGCCCAGCGAACTTGACATCCATTTCAAAAGAGTGTTCTGTTATGTAGGTCCCTGCATTGGGTTGACTTTATCTGACGAGTATTGTGAAATAGGCTAAATATTCATGAAACCTGATCCATTGTGCCAAGGTTCAGAAATTACATCCTTTCTGACCTCACCACACAATTTTAAATGTCAGCCCGACATGCACGCTCACAAAACCTCTTATCATCCTGGCCCATAAGGCCTTTACTGACTGTCAACACTCAGACTACTTATTGAACATAACCAACTGTATGTCAGCACTATCCAGCAATCACTTTGAATTCTAATTTCATTTAGTGCCGTTTATGTCTGGTAATATAAAAAATATATATTTATGTAAGGCACATGTGGGTAGCCGTTGTTACTTAGGGATGTATTACATAAATTATGAACTCCCTATCATCTCCCACCATTGTCAGGGCCGATAAAGTGACTCACACTTTGTGAGGAATCAATAATGGATATCCTGTGGAGGCAACGGCCCACACTTTTGAAATGTTGGATTTCAACCGTTGTCTCTGAACCACCAACAGAGATTAACACCGTCCATTGATCATTTGACACTGTGGAGACAATTTAAATGTGCTTTATTTCGAAATAAAAAGGTTTGTGAGGCAGGAGGGCTCTCTATGTTACGATATGGATCAGAGAGTCAGGCCCGAACTCAGCAGCTTGAAAGCCGTTTGCATTTGAGCAGAGGTGCTTGAGATGGATTATGGCGATACAGGATAAGCAAAGCAGAAATCCTGAAGAGAACATTGCAGTAATTTTTTATGATTCATCAACGAATGGTTGCATTGGGGAGGTTACATGTGCATGATGGAGGAGTCACGTTTCTACTGTACAGCATCCGCAGGATCTTACAGAACATAGAACGCGTTGGCGAGGTGTGTTTGTGTAGCACGCACTGCTTTGGTCATGAAAACATTGATCTTTGTCCTGAATTGCGATAATATTGGTAAATAAAGCCCTAATGTGTCACGTGTGTTGCTGGGGATAGGTGGGCTGATTGACAAAGGCCACCATGAGGGCCGAGCGTCGCGGGCGCTGCACGAGGCGCTGGCTCTGGACAAGGCGGTGCAGCGCGCCCACGAGCTCACCGACCCAGCCAACACGCTGATCGTTGTCACGGCAGACCACGGCCACACGCTCACCATCGGCGGGCACCCCAGCAGAGGCAACCCCATACTGGGTGAGTGCAGCTTGCTGAAATGAACAACGAGGCAGTGTGCATTTCCTTTCTAAGAATTTGTCAAGAAAGACGATATCATGGGACCTCCTTTGCCAGTATCAAAATATGGGAATCGGTTAGACTAGAGGACCAATCAGTTTCAAAGACAATGCATATATTATCAGAGTATGTTTTTTGTTTGCATTCTGACCACAAGTATTGTGGTTAATGCAGACGTGATTCCTTGTAAAAGGTTTTAGTTTGGTGTTTTAACATCTTAGCACCTGTTTTGTTGCCAGAAAAAAGGGGAAAACCTATTCTCAAAACAGACGATGTTTGAGAGTGGCGGGGCTCTCCCATCACCGTTGAGCATAGGGTCCCGCATCTCAGCGTTTCTGCACACCTAGCAGCATTCTATATCGGACGCCTAGGAGTTGAGGGGCGTGGATCGAGGCTCACCGCCTTCATTTCAAGGTGCTTCCCGCCGGTGGTGGAATTCCGCCCTTCACCACCCCTGTCGGGGCTTTACACTACCGTCCAGGTTATTTGAACTCATGTCACTCCACGAGCGAAGAACCGGGTTTTACTCCAAATGCTTCATGCTCGAAAAAACGATCAAGCAGGTACAGGGGGATACTCGATCTGAGGAAACTTGCTTCTCCACATATAGCATTTCAAGGTGGAGTCTCTTTAGTGCACCACAGGAGTGCTCCAGTCAGAGGATTGGCTTGCCTCCATAGAGTTCGCCAAGGGTGTTCACCAAGGTGTTGGCAACCCTCATTGTAGCCCTATCTTGACGACTTTCTCTGAGGGCGCCATTGGTAACCAGGCTTCAGATGGAGATATATCCATGGTCATCTCACTATTGGAGACACACAGCGGAGTCATCAACCGGGTGAAGCGTTTTCTGTTGCCAACCCAGCAGCTTTACCATCTGGGCGCTGATATTTGAACGGACCAGCAGATTATGTGGCTTCTGGATCAGAAGGAGCTCCTGATAGCTGGGCTAGCCCATTCTATTGCACACCAATGCAGTGCCCCATGCAAGAGTAATTGTGGTTCTGCTGAGGCACACGTCATGAACCACAGAGGTCATTCTCTGGGCGAAGTACCGAATGAGACATTTACAAAAAGCTCTGCTACGCTGCTGGGACCCGTGGCGTGGCAACCTCCAACAGGTGGTGCGACTGCCACCGATCTGCAGAGCCTTCACTTGGGACACCAGCTCTTGGGGCTGGAGTGCTCACCTCATCTCCAGGGGAGATCAGTGCAGGCGAGCTGGCCAACCCTTGCAAAGGGCCGCACCAACCTGCTCTAAGTGCACGTCATACATCTAGCTGCTGTGGCATTTCACACCACAGTTGATTGGCAGGTCAGTCCTGGTTCGCTGCAACAACATCATGGATCCCCCCCCCCCCCCCCCCCCGATTCTGTCCTCTTATGGAGGAGGCCTGGATCCTGCTGAGTTGCGCAGAGGCCATGCGCTTGACTCTGGAGGGTGACCCACGTGGCCGGGGTTCGACTCGCTTGTCCGCAGCTGACTCGATCCGCGAGTGGCAGCTGCACCCCGAGGTGTTCATCTCCCTTCTGGATCGCTTCGGCCCCCTTTATCGCCTCTGCGAAAGGCTGCCTGCTCACGAGGTTGTTCGTGACCTCTGCACTTCGCTCGCTTTCTCACCGAAACCTGGGGGTCTGTGACCTGTGTAGCCCTGCTCTGATTGTGTTTGCGACCTGCAAGTTTGTAACCTCGGTGACCTGTGTTAAGGACCTGTGAGCGTAGGATCACACCCCTGCCTTCGTGACTAAGTATTGGAGTCTGGACCGTCATTGCTAACTATTAGGAGTGTGTTTATGTTGTTATAACTAGTGCTTCTTATTGCCATTACCTTTGATCTGGTTGATGTGACTTGTGTTTTCTCATTGCCCTGTAACCCCTGGAAACCCTTGCATATTACCTGGTGTTGTTCTTTGCAAATCCTTGTTACTTGTTTTCTCTTTACCATGTTGAAATCTGGACTGTGGACTTGTGGTGGTGATGGTGGTGTTGGAGGATTATGCCATCTATTTGCCAAAATGCAAGACATTTCCCAATACAACAATTTGCTTATTGCAGGGCTAGTGGACACGGAAGTGAGCGATGTGGACTACCTACCCTTCACCACGCTCGCCTATGCCAATGGGCCTGGGCACAGCACTCGTCGCGACATTGTGGATACAGGTAAATTGCTGAATCATGGATGATTCATTGTGATCCTACTGAATCGCACGAGGCGTCAATTTGACGATTTATAAGCACAATGTATTACGTCTGCCATGATGGCACAATTATGCTGGAAACAGTAATATATGCAAGTTCACGTTTGTTTAACCAGATAGTAACTCAAGAGATCAGAATAGTGTCATTATCAAGAATGACTTGGGTCACCAAAATTACAAATAATATATAAATCGGAGCAAAACAACCAAATATAAATGAAAGCAGAAGCAACCGTGTTACAAAGGAAATCCAAAAACTGCACAAACATGATATTAAATAAAATTCGCAGCCTGCATGTGTTTTGAGTGGGACCATCCCTCCCTCCTTTCATGCGTCCCTCCCTCTCAGAGTACCCGGAGAAAACCCAGGCGAGGGGAGATAACACTCAATCCCGATACAGATGTTAATTAATCCACTTTCTGTCCTGTTGTACCCTGGAGAGCTAGGAGATGACCTTAACGTCCATGGGGAGTTTCAGAAGTTTGAGTGATCTAGTAACCCTTACCTCCAGAGTGCACGATTACAGGCACTCATCTATGTTCTTTCGCCTTATTAGCTGCAGACGACTACAGAGTGAAGAGCGCGGTGCCACGGACAAGGGAAACGCACAGCGGGGAGGACGTCCCCGTGTTTGCGAGCGGTCCCATGGCCCACCTCCTGCGTGGAGTGCAGGAGCAGACCTACGTGGCCCACGTTATACGCTATGCCGCATGCCTGGGCAGTTATCGCGAGAGCCACTGCACCCGAGAGGGCAGGACGCCCAGTTAAAAGGCCTTGGCATTCTCTTCTTTGTTGATGTATGGAGAAATAACTTTGAATTTACGTTGGTGCCTTAGTATTTGGTGTTTGGGCAGCATTCAATGGTCAGTTCTGGATGACAGTAGTCGCACACTGTAGATTTTTACATTTCACATTCGTGCTTCACGTATCCGTATCTGCATCGTTTGTGCCGATGCTGTTTAAGGTTGCCCATAAACTTCGTTGAAGATCGTAGCTGTTAGTTCTTTCTGCTCTTTAATGAGGTGTTTGTGACTTAGTGGCCTTTGTGCACAGCAGTGCATCTGCTGTAGAACATTTCCCTACTACATAGCAGCCGACCATTTGTATACTTTAGGGATGAGATTGGGATTTTAAAACGTCAAATGCAGGATACCCGAATATTCGCGGGAGCACCTTCCTGGAGAATATTAAAACTCAAAGTTAAAAAAATAGGTTTAGGGAGCGTAAATATATTGCATTTAAACATAAACTGTATGTATATATTAATGAATAAATTGTATGGTAGTTTGTGTTATTTAACATACCTTTTATAATGATGAATATAAATATTTAAAAAAATAGGGTTAAATAAATTTATAGTTCACGGTATTTCCCCACTTCTCTCTCCCCCCCTACTGCCGAGGCCTTACTATATAACCTCGTGCCATGGCAGATCTCTCGCCTACTTCAGCAGTTTTTTTCTTGCTGTGGTTGTCCCACCTGATGACGATTGCTTGTGTTGCGATCGAAACGTCATGATCTAATATATTTATACCTACGTGACTTTATCGAAAGAACCAAAGAGTATGGATTCCTGCAGTCACAAAAGCTTCAAATCAAGATTGCAAGGTATTATTTTAAACTTACCTTTAAAAATGTCACTTTGCTTAGGGGCCATGGTGAACGGTAACACAGCATGTAATGAAAAGAAAACAATTTGCAAAGGAACACCGCCCGCGTGTGAATGGTGGGGCAGACAAAGTCCGACTGTTTGGGAGAGCGGCGTCGCTGGGGCTAACGTTCTCATCTCTCACCATCTACGCTGCTGCCTCGCGTCACTTCAGTACCTTCTGTCGGGTGGTCACGTGCTACGGCCGTGAATGTTTCAAGCACAACCCCGCAAATTTCATACAGCGCTGCAATGAAGTCGTCGCGAATACGCAAACACCGCGATTAAAAAAAGTTGTATCGTATTTTCTTTGGACCATTTCTGATATTTTTTTGTAATTTGGGGATTTTCGTGTCATTTTTTCTTAAGTACTAAGTAAAATGTCCTCGTACTAACAATAGTGGCGTCACCTGATACCACGTGACATCCCTTTTATTCGGAAAATCTTCGAAGTGATGGCATGAAAGTCACATCACTTCCGTTTGACGTGTTTTTGAATCAATATTGTCTGAAATTTCGTGTACACTCGATTTTCATATTTTTAGCACTAATCTGATAAGGTGTACCTGTATTGATTTTACTTGCTTTGAGCAGCACACTGCACATTGGGTTCCATTTATTTAGGCGTATAGATAACATCGACAGCAGAGCAGGTTTCCCCTGGCTCTTTGAACCCTTGATAAGTGGCGGGGGGGGGGGAAAGTTGGTCAAGGTGCAAACCTGCAATTTCTTGCTCACGCCACTCCTGGCAGAAGGGCCTCTGTTTAGATGGAGCTCTGGAGGGGCCTACACTCGAGAAGATTTGGCCTACTTTTCCACACTGGCCAGACGTTTTTTTGACCCTGAATTTACGCACTTAAGTTTGTAAAAAAAAAAGGGAAAACCATTTCAATGAAAATTGCGTAAATACTATACAGTAATTGTATTTAAACGACTCTAAAGTTTCAATAGTTTAAGTCATTGTGCTTAAAGTAACATACTGTAGCTGTTTTAAAACAGCCCTCATATTTCGATTTAAAGCTTTCGTGACTGCAAGGAGTAATCTTCTTTGGTTCTTTCGGTAAAGGCACGTAGAATGAGAATAAAATAATAAATTGATAAAATAAAATAACAATAATATTCTCACGACGTTTCGGCCACAACACAAGCGGCCTTCATCAGGTGAAGGGGACGAGACTGTCTGGAGGACAGCGCTGTGTTATTTTATTTGATCAATTTATTATTTTATTCTCATTCTACGTGACTTCACCGAAAGAACCAAAGAAGATGAGCCCTCATATTAATGCAAATGTTTGTGTAAAATATAAAATACAGTGAAACCCTCTGATCCACTATGCAATTGTGGGCGATTCTCCGTATTATAAATCTACTTTTTTGTGATACCGTGTTGGCACAAATAACAAAACGCAACAAAAGTTGTCAATAACGCTGTTTGAAAAGTATAAACTGTAAGATGCAACGTTTGTAGTCCATTGTAGCAAAACGGAATTATCATGGCTTTGCAGGTTGTTTTATGTTTGCAATCAAATACAATTTAGCAGCCGAAGATGACTGTTAATTACGGGCACAGATTTTATTGATGTATATAATTATTTTAATATGAAATGCCAATTCTTCAAGGCTGTGCTCTAATTCAATGTTATCATATTCGTGAAATTGATAATGTGCATTCAAATGACAGTATTCATTCTCAGTCAATTAACTCTCTCACATTATGTGGCATTAAAATCTAACTTTTAACTGACACCATGAGGTGACGTTTTCTTATTAATGTTGACTTTCCGATTTGTATGCTTTGGGCAATTTATTTTTGTAAAGCATAACTAGTTCATATGCAGTTTGTGTGGTCATTTGCCCTACACATGTAACCGTATATTAATTTAATGTGACTATATCGTCATGGTCCTGTGATAAATGCGAAATGTGAATAAACTTGATTTATTGATGAACAAATTGTACACTGTAGGTCGAGATATTTAAAGACCGTTAAACTATCAATTCATATTTATATAGCATTATAAATATGACTCCATCTCAAGACACTGTATAAAAAGTGGGAACCTTTAATATAGAATGAGGCAGTCATTCGAAGATGGGGGGGGGGGGGGGTAGTGGGGAAAGGGCTTGGATGGCTGGGGAAAGGGGGTTCAGGACTGAGGGCAGAAGGAGGAAAATAAGCAAATTCCTACTGAAGTAAGATGTCTTAAATGCTGGAGCAGAGAGGGCACAACGAGGAATAGAGAGATGAGAGGGGGAGTGCATGGTGGTGATGGGGGGAAGAGTTAGATCAGAGGGTAGGCAGAAATGAGACCATGGAGGATCTCGAAAATTGCAGAGTGCGAACTTTAAAGATTTGTGTCTGGATATGGAGTCGGTATAGAGAATGGCGTTAGTGGTGCCATGTGGTACTGCGAGGTTGAGATATGTGGACAGAGAAGTACCTTTGTTTTGATCAACATATCCATATCAGTATGTTTAATGTGAACCAAATTCAGTTCCATGCTACAGACGGTAAGATATGCTACATCAATAAAGATGTTGGGTGTATTACAGTGAGGGGAAAAAGTATTTGATCTCCTGCTGATTTTGTACGTTTGTCCACTGACAAATAAATGATCAGTCTATAATTTAATGGTAGGTTTATTTGAACAGTGAGAGACAGAATAACAACAAAAAAATCCGGAAAAACGCATGTCAAAAATGTTGGAAATTGATTTGCATTTTAATGAGGGAAATAAGTATTTGACCCCCTCTCAATCAGAAAGATGTCTGGCTCCCAAGTGTATTTTATACAAGTAACGAGCTGAGATTAGGAGCACACTCTTAAAGGGAGTGCTCTTAATCTCAGCTTGTTACCTGTATAAAAGACACCTATCCACAGAAGCAATCAATCAATAAGATTCCAAACTCTCAACCATGGCCAAGACCAAAGAGCTCTCCAAGGATGTCAGGGACAAGATTGTAGACCTACACAAGGCTGGAATGGGTACAAGACCATTGCCAAGCAGCTTGGTGAGAAGGTGACAACAGTTGGTGCGATTATTCCCAAATGGAAGAAACACAAAAGAACTGTCAATCTCCCTCAGCCTGTGGCTCCATGCAAGATCTCACCTCGTGGAGTTGCAATGATAATGAGAACGGTGAGGAATCAGCCCAGAACTACACGAGAGGATCTTGTCAATGATCTCAAGGCAGCTGGGATCATAGTCACCAAGAAAACAATTGGTAACACACTACGCCGTGAAGGACTGAAATCCTGCAGCGCCCGCAAGGTCCCCCTGCTCAAGAAAGCATATATACATGCCCGTCTGAAGTTTGCCAATGAACATCTGAATGATTCAGAGGACAACTGGGTGAAAGTGTTGTGGTCAGATGAGACCAAAATGGAGCTCTTTGGCATCAACTCAACTCGCCGTGTTTGGAGGAGGAATGCTGCCTATGACCCCAAGAACACCATCCCCACCGTCAAACATGGAGGTGGAAACATTATGCTTTGGGGGTGTTTTTCTGCAAAGGGGACAGGACAACTTCACCGCATCAAAGGGACGATGAACGGGGCCATGTACCGTCAAATCTTTGGTGAAAACCTCCTTCCCTCTGCCAGGGCATTGAAAATGGGTCGTGGATGGGTATTCCAGCATGACAATGACCCAAAACACACGGCCAAGGCAACAAAGGAGTGGCTCAAGAAGAAGTACATTAAGGTCCTGGAGTGGCCTAGCCAGTCTCCAGACCTTAATCCCATAGAACATCTGTGGAGGGAGCTGAAGGTTCGAGTTGCCAAACGTCAGCCTCGAAACCTTAATGACTTGGAGAAGATCTGCAGAGAGGAGTGGGACAAAATCCCTCCTGAGATGTATGCAAACGTGGTGGCCAGCTACAAGAAACGTCTTACCTCTGTGATTGCCAACAAGGATTTTGCCACCAAGTACTAAGTCATTCTTTGCATTAAAATGCAAATCAATTCATAACATTTTTGACATGCGTTTTTCTGGATTTTTTTGTTATTATTCTGTCTCTCACCGTTCAAATAAACCTACCATTAAAATTATAGACTAATAATTTCTTTGTCAGTGGGAAAACGTACAAAATCAGCAGGGGATCAAATACTTTTTTTCCCTCACTGTACATGTTCTTTAATTAACCAAGCAGAAGTTGTTTTATGGTGCTTAATTATACCAGCGATATATATATTTTTAAAATAATTTACGGTTGGAAATTTCCGAGGACTGACATGTTAAAATATTGTCATACATTAATATTTTTGTCTTATTCTTTGTGACAGGCATAGCCAGCATAACTAATCTGAATTGCAGGGAAAGTATCAATCATTCACTTAAAAGTGCTGATCGACATGAATTAGCCCGTTGTCCAATGAGCACGCTGTGCGCACTTGATCCCCTCAAGACCACAAACTCCCTTCAACATCCAATCAGACAATTACGAGTTCAAATACTGGTTAGGTGTTGACTTAGCGCATCAACCCTCTGGGGTCAATTAAATTGAGCGCCACTTTGTGGGGAAGAAGATTTGCCCACCCAATCGGAATGTGCACTGTTTTAATAACGTATTTGTATGTATGGAGGTGGAATAGTGCTGCGGGTGTGAGCGCACTAGACTGTGAATCTGGCGATACCTAAGTTCAATTAATAGCTGTGCGGCTAACATCAGTGGCGAGTGATGTCTGTACAGGTATAGGTTCTGTGCCCCACCCCCTTAACAACCAACACTAAGCATGATTTAACAACCCCGGTGCCCAACATGGCTTGATGAGGCCTTCATCCAATAGTGGAGTATTATTTTATT